ACACTTCTAAGCTGTTTTCCCAATCACTGGGATGATTATTGTTCCTAACATGAACGAACAGTGCACTGCTTTCAGATGCTGTTCTGATAATGTACTTGTGCTGTTTGATTCTGAGTTGCAATGCTTTCCCAGCAATGCTTTCCCAGTCTGTCATACATAATTCCCATAACAGTTGCTACATGCAATGCAGTAAACACTTTCATTTAAATTGTTTTTTCCTATGTTTTTGGATGAGTTTCAAACGAATTTGATATCCATTTCCTCCAGAAATCACTTGTTATTTAGATAACCTCCCCCTCCCCCAATCATTATGGAAAAATTTGGATTTTTTAAATTTTTAGAATTCAAATACAGTAAATAAAACCTAACCTAACCTGACCCAACCTAACCCCCCCTTCTTTATACCCCCACATCTTACCTTAATCTGTAAAACTATTGTGACACCACCAAATACAGTTGGTCCTCATATTACGCGGTCCCGCATTCCGCGTTTCACCGTTAACGCGGTGCCTTGCCAGAACCTAACATTCTTACATTCCGCGGTCGCGAACGCCATTACGCGGAGAGTGTCCGGCGCGACGGTATTTTTAGATTTTCCCCACGCGCCACGTGCCACCCGCCCGCCTGCCTCTCCCTCCTCCTCCCTCCGCTTGGGCAAGCGGCGCGGTAAGGTTGCGCAGTGTGTCTTTGTTGCGATATCACTAACGTCATATGACGTATCAGACCTGTGATTGGCCATGCATCCCTACCCTCCTCTGCTGCTAGCTGTAATTGGCTTAAAGTATTATGACGTGTCCACCCGGGGGAGGGAGGGAGGGAGGAAAGACGACGCTTGACCTAGCCGCGGCAGTTTCATCCCTCAAGGCCACTCCGTGTAAACGCGCATCCATTGTTCCGTAAAATGGCTTCCGCCGGACCACCACCCCCAGAGAAAAACCTTTCCTTACCTGGACCCAGCGGCACTAAACCAAAGAAGACACGACGTTCCTTAAGCTACGAGGTGAAGTATACCATCATCCAAGAGTTGGAGAAAGGAACAAGGCAGGTTGATTTGGCGCGCCAGCATGGCGTGAACGAATCTACGATCCGGACTATAAAGAAGGATTCAGCCAAGATAAAGGAGCACATGAAGATCACAAAGTCTACAGGTGCTTCTATGATCAAGTATTTTCACAACCAGGTGCTTCTCAAGACAGAAAAATTACTTGTGAGGTACTTGGTGCGTCAGGCGCGACGGAACATGGCGGTCGACACGCGCTCTGTGAAGGACTACGCACGTGAACTGTACATGGCAGTGGCACGAAAGATGGGAATTACAGAGCCCAAACCCTTTAATGCTTCCTCTGGGTGGTTACAGAGGTTTAAGATCCGGAACAAGATCACCAATATAAACATTGGTGGTGAAGAAGCGAGTGCTGATCGTGCTGCGGCTCGGGAATTTCCTCCGTTTTTACGTGAGATTATGGAGGAAGGACAGTACAGTGACGACCAGGTGTTTAACATGGACGAATCTGGTCTTTTCTGGAGAAAACTACCTTCCAAGTCCTACATTGTGAAGAATGCCAGCAGGATTCGGGGCCGGAAAATGCAGAAGGAACGCATCACCGTCCTGTTTACCACCAATGCCTCCGGTACCTGTAAGCTCAAGTTATCGGTGATCCACACAGCCCGCAAGCCGCACGCCTACAGGAGCATGGGCATGACCAAGCTAAATGTCCACTGGCTGACAGCACGTAAGGCATGGATGTTCTCTACACTGTCCCTCTCCTGGTTTGATGACTGTTTTGTTCCCGATGTAAAGAAATTCTGTGAGCAACAGAATGTCCCATTTAATATTTTGTTGCTGCTGGACAACGCACCAGGACACTCGCCCCTAGTGTTAGATCGTCACCCCAACGTAAAAGTGGTCTTCCTTCCTCCCAACACTACGTCTTTAATCCAGCCCATGGACCAGGAGTTGATTTGCAATGTGAAAGCTGCATTCTCAACAAAAAAATTCCAGCTCCTGAACGACTACACCAACACCAGGGAAGAGTTGCGTGACCTGAGTGACACCACCACCGATAGCAAGAGCGACGAAGATGAGGAACAACGGTTAGAACAGCAAAAAATACTCTTCAAACAATTCTGGAGAGTATTTAACATCAAGAAAGCTGTGGACATCTTGGTGGAGTCATGGGATCAGCTGTCTATTGCTACAATTCGTCACGCATGGAGACATGTGTTGCATGGAATACCAGGTGAGAGGAGGAGTCAATCTGTGACTGGTGAGGTTCAGACTGTTGCAGTAGCAGTGGACCTTGCCAGAGAAGCTGCGCAGACTGTTACAGTTCCAGGCTTCTCCGAGACTACCGACGACGACATCCTGGAGGTGATCAGAAATCCTGAAGTGACTGCCGACGAGATGTTGGAAGAAGAACACGCCAGTGAAGAGGAGGAAGAAGGTGCGGCAGTCTCCGAAGAACACAATTTAAGTCATAGTGATATTAAGGGTGCCATGGAGTGTGCAGAGAAGATGAAGTCCTTCCTTTCCCGCGACAATGACGATGACCGCTATGAAGTCTTCCATAACCGGCTGGTGCAGGCTATGGAGCCGTACATCAAGGTGTATCACGACAACATCAACGCCAGCCGTCAGCAAAGCATAACAGATTTCTTCACCCGCAACCCACCACAGCCAGCACAGAAGCCCTGACAATTGTAAGTGACAGTGATGATGATTCACCTAGTAATGGTGATTCACCTGAGGGCCAGTAATCTGCCCTCTGCCTCGGAACCAGCCTCCATCCCCGTATGCCGACCCATCTCTTCTACTACCGTAAGTGTTCCACCTAACTTTTAGTTTCTCTAAAGTAACCTTCATTTTTCCTATGTTAACCTTTATCTTTCCTAACCTAACCTCTTCTATATTACTTGTTTTTTCATACCATCATAAAGTTAAGATAAAATTTTTACTGCAACATAGTTATGTGTCGTCAAAAAGTGGAGTTTGGGGATCGGCCTGGACTCCATTTCAATTAATCCCATATGTTATGTTGTTCACTTTACGCGTTCCTCACTTTCCGCGGGACCCTCCAGGTTACATTAACCGCGTAATATGAGGACCAACTGTATGTTGTTCTTCACGCAGTGTACACTGGTTATTACACGTTGGAAAATGAACTACTTTATATTTGGTAATACACGGTGTTTTATAAAAAAAAAGAAGCCTAACTTTTTTTTTTGGTGTAACTCTGCAATTGACGCAAAATAATCATTCTCACAATGTCGCCATGGCTCTTCCAACTGTTCAGCCATATCTGGTACTCAAAATTCAAATCTCCCCTCCAGACCACACCCACTCATTGTTCATTGGCTAAAACAAAAAAATCTTTCCCAATAAAAATACTCCTATCACTGTAGCCAATAAGAAACTCCCACTTAAACCCCCCCCCCCCCGCGTATGCGCTGTATATGCTTAAGAAGCGAACACGGAGGTCTGGAGTGATGCGTGAGAGGGTGTCAGACCACCTCCGCCAGATGTAACCAAGACGTGGAGACATTTGTGAATGAGTGAAAGTAATAATCTTGAAAATTTAATATCTCAGTTATCCTTAATTTCCGGTGGAAATATCATAGAAGAAAATGTCTTAGAAGTGTCTAAACATTACGAAATACATTTTAATAACAGCGAAAGAAAGACCGGTGTAAAATTATAAATTCACCAAAATTTCAACCAATTCGGACAATTACTTCTGGTGGTAGCCGTTATCTACACCTTTACCGATATTTAGGGGTGAGGAACTTTATCACCAACCATCACACACACACACACTCAAATGTAAGTTTGTATATTTTCAGCTACTGGCTGCAACTCTATTAATAAGCCGTTTATTATTATTACTATTATTACACACACACTCCAGGAAGGTACCATGACTCATAATTAGTGTTGGGTCGGTAAATTTTTACTTTAGGACATGAGTCCCCAGGGTTGACCAATATGTTTTTCCAGTGTATTTTGGTGTGTTGTAAAGGAATCAGACCTTCATTTTTGGCGGAAATTTGTCCCCCACAACAATAATGGGGGAGAACCAGGGAAATCGGGGTTTTTGGGTGGAGGAGAAAACAAAAATGAGTCATCTGACCTAACCTAACCTAACCCCTAGCCCAGGGCTTCGCCCCTGGACCCCCGGTAGTCCTAGCTTAAACTAACCTAAATGTTTCAGTAGTTAAAAACTTTGGGGCACACCATGTCTGAAGGTACAATACCTGAGTTAGAAGTGGAAGGACCAGGGATACGTAAGAATTGGATAGAATGATCGTCCTCGTAAAATTCAGCAATAAACTGAAAATAACCGGAGGAGCACAAATGACAACCAACCTCCACCACGGCCATTGTGAGACTGGTCAATGTAATTAAAATCGTACCCAAGCTGCTTCCTTTCAAAAAATCAAACGATTGGTAGAAAAAAAATTGCGTGATGATATCGATATCTCATTGGTCACGACTGGATGACATCAGTCTATGGCGCATGCGTGATTTGCCGATATCATCTCAATAAGACTGAAAACTACTTAAAATCAATTAAATTCAATTGTGTCACTATTATCCATTTTCGCCATGTATATATGGGGTTCAAAATGCTCAAAATAGCTAGATCTAGATGTTTCACAAGATAATAACTTTCGGGGGCGTTATGTTCTAAAGTAAAATAATACCGTTGGGGCTATTATTCCACAAACACTAGCTCACAAGCTCAAAATCATATGCCGGTGTTTGAGGAATAATTACCGAAGTTGGCAGCCATTTAATTTGTCATTATTCACGGTATCGAAAACAAGCAGCCTAGTTAACTATAGACGAGGGAGAGAGAGATGAATGTTTCAACGAGGCAGTTCACATAACAAAAGTAAATAATCCCGCCATGTCTTAGTAACACTGAGAATTATAAACTTCATCACCCCTGTTGTATGAAAACGTCACAGCTTCCCCTGTATAATGACAATATTATACTCACAGACCTTAAACAATGTTTCTGGCACAACACAACACACGTCCTCTCAACCCGTCTTCAGGCTCCAGGTGTTCGTGTGGGCTGCAGTCGGATAGGCGGCGAACGGATACACTTTACCATTCTTCTAGTTTTATTTGTGTATAAAAGAGATAGGTAGATAAATAATAAAATACCAGAAACAGACCACACTAATTTAGCATGTACTATATGAGAGTATATAAGCTTTGCAGGTATACAAACAATGGCCAGCTTCACTAACAAGTTTGGAGTCATTCGATCACGTGAAGACTACGGCCATGCTCATATCTTAAGGTTGGCGATCACAGCCCTTCATTCTGAACGTTTTTCGGGCTGTTACCGCGGCTTGAACCGGTGTAAAAGTCATGTTTATATTAGTGTTTGTTACTTTATCATCCTTCTCGCTCATCAGCTTGTTAACCCTCTGTAGGGGTATGAGATATTAGTTCACACTCAGGATGGGATGGAGAAAGGAAACTCACAATGTGCTCACTGTATACATATTGTATTGGATGTACAATGCAGCTTGTTGCTGGGTAGGTAGCATGGTAATAAGCATTGAGTAGAGAGAGCTGGTTGGTGAGGGTGCCCAGAGTGAGGGCACGCGGCTTGAGGGACGCCAAGGTCGCTGGCGGAAGCGGCAGCCGCATGGCTGGCGCGGAGGAGGAGGTGTTGCTTGCTGGTGGCACTGGGTAGAAAAGAGAGGGTGGTCACAGCGGTGTCAGGCCTTATAAGGCGGGGGTAGGCGTGGGTAGATAGTTGACCCCCTCTCCGTGGGCGGCGCTGGAGGCGTAGGCTGGGGAATTCGAGAAGGTTCGGTGCTTGTAGTGGAGGAATCCACTACAATACTCCCCTTCCCCTCCGGGCGCGGCGGGAGGCTGGAGGTTGGCAGAGTTGCGTGCCACATGTGAGGCAGAACGGGCGGTGCATGCCACATGTGAGACATAACGGCGAGGGCGTGGAAAAGCCGGCCGCTAGGGGGGGGGGACAACTCTGTCTAGATACACGAGATCTGTGGGAGAAAAGAGAGAAGGAGGGTTGTGGAGGCGATGAATGTTGTGCTTCCCTCGTGACAGGTACAGAGTCGTCAGATGCGCCTGCTGGGGTGTGTGGGCCTGGGTCAGGAACAGGGGCTGCGTTAGGAAGAGTGTCCATGACAGCAGCAGGGTGCATGACAGCAGCAGGGTCCACGACATCAGCAGGGTGTAGGACAGTAGCAGGGGGTACCTGAGGGAGAAAAGAGGGGTGTATGGGTCCGCGTCAGGAGCAGGGGCCGCGTCACGAGAAGCGGCAGGGGGTATTGCTGGGCCGGGGGCGGCGTCTGAGTCAGGACGGGTGTGTTGGGGTCGGTAGGACGTGGTGCTTGGGGCAGGAAGAGGAGCGGCTGTCTGCTTAGAGTAGCAGAGCTGCTCTAGGGTGTCTAACCTGCGGTGTAGAGACAGTAGATGTAGAGCCGATGAGAGCTGCTTCTATGTGGATAAGCCAGTCTTCCATGTTGCTAGAAGACTGGGAGAGTGATCAGTTTCTCCTCCATCCTGTGTGAGTGCGAATCTCCAGGGGTCACCATTTGTAGGGGTATGTAGTGGGTTGCGCTGAGCATCATGCCTGACGAAAACATACTCGGCAGTGAGTAGTGCAGGACAGGTGATAGTGTCGGTGCGTTTGGCACGAGAACCCTGGATCTTGCGTGCTGTAGGCTCATGGATGAGGCATAGATGGCTTGGGTCGACGCCGAGCTTGTGGAAGGTGAGGAAGTCGAAGCCAAGAATGGGTTGAGACACATCTGCGATCACGAATAACCAACGCATAGTCTTGGGCAGACCGAGGTCTAAGGCGAGGGTGCGTACACCGTAGGAGGCGATGGGGGCACCGTTGGCAGCGAACAGGTCATAAGAGGGTTGCTTTGACATGTCTTGTAGTGAGGGAGGGATAATGCTGACCGATGAACCTGTGTCGACGAGGAATTTCGTGCCGGAGGTGCGGTCGGTGATGTGCAGTAGTGAGACGCCTAAAGGAACGGGGGCTGAGGCGTCTACCAATTCCCGTTGTTGCCGTTTCCCGAGTAGGTGCAGTGGGGCTCACAGTGTTGAACATTGGCGCCGAAACGTCTGTGATACCAGCATAGGGTAGATCCGTTGTACTGGGGGCTGGCGGCGGTTTATGGGGCAGGAAATGCGCGTCGTGGATTGTAGGGCGCAGTGCGTAAGCCAGGAACAGGCCCGGTAGCAGGCGTGGGATTGTAGGGCGCGGTGCGTGAGCCAGGAGCAGGCCCGGCAGCAGGCATGGGATTGTAGGGCGCAGTGCGTGAGTCGGGAACAGGCCCAGCAGCAGGCCTGGAGAAACAGAACTGTTCAATGGTGTCCATCCTGCGGTTCAAAGTCTGCAACAGGTCCTTTATGTCTTGTGAGGTATTGCTCGGCTGAGGGTTGATGACCCGGCTTACAAGTTCAGGGGTAAGTACTGGTGTGGTCGTTGGGTTGTTCGCAGCGGCGAGACCTGCAGCAGCGCAATTGCTGAATATCCTGTCTGCCGAGGGTGCATAGAGTTCTGGTGTCGCAGAGTAATCTACTGCAGACAGGGTGACGCGCACCATTGTGGGAAGACAGCAGAGTCTACCGTCCGCGCCTTCAAGTCCGGTTGGGTTTTCCGTTTCGGTCCCCCTGCAACCGTCATCACTGACCGAGGAGCCCAGTTTGAGTCACAACTCTGGCAGGACCTCCTACAGTTCCTCGGTACTTCTAGACAACGCACTACCACAATTGTAGTGGATTCCTCCCCTACAAGCACCGAACCTTCTCGAATTCCCCAGCCTACGCCTCCAGCGCCGCCCACGGAGCGGGGGTCAACTATCTACCCACGCCTACCCCCGCCTTATAAGGCCTGACACTGCTGTGACCACCCTCTCTTTTCTACCCAGTGCCACCAGCAAGCAACACCTCCTCCTCCGCGCCAGCCGTGCGGCTGCCGCTCCCGCCAGCGACCTTGGCGTCCCTCAAGCCGCGTGCCCTCACTCTGGGCACACTCACAACCCAGCTCTCTCTACTCAATGCTTATTACCATGCTACCTACCCAGCAACAAGCTGCATTGTACATCCAATACAATATGTATACAGTGAGCACATTGTGAGTTTCCTTTCTCCATCCCATCCTGAGTGTGAACTAATATCTCATACCACTACAAATGGTGACCCCGGAGTGACCACTCACACAGGATGGAGGAGAAACTGATCACTCTCCCAGTCTTCAAGCAACATGGAAGACTGGCTTACCCACGCAGAGGGAGCTCTCATCGGCTCTACAACTACTGTCTCTACACCGCAGGTTAGACACCCTAGAGCAGCTCTGCTACTCTAAGCAGACAGCCGCTCCTCTTCCTGCCCCAAGCACCACGTCCTACCGACCCCAACACACCCGTCTTGCCTCAGACGCCGCCCCCGGCCCAGCAGTACCCCCTACCGCTCCTCCTGACGCGGCCCCTGCTCCTGACGCGGACCCACACACCCCTCTTTTCTCCATCAGGTACCCCCTGCTACTGTCCTGCACCCTGCTGATGTCGTGGACCCTGCTGCTGTCATGCACCCTGCTGTTGTCATAGACCCTCTTCCTGCTGACGCAGCCCCTGCTCCTGACCCAGGCCCACACACTCCAGCAGGCGCATCTGAGGACTCTGTACCTGTCGCGAGGGAAGCACAACATTCATAGGCCTCCACAACCCTCCTTCCCCCTCTTTTCTCCCACAGATCTCGTGTATCTAGACAGAGCTGTCCCCGTTACCGGCCGGCTCATCCACGCCCTCATGTCTCACATGTGGCATGCACCGCCTGTTCTGCCTCACATGTGGCACACAACCCTGTCAACCTCCAGCCTCCCGCCGCGCCCGGAGGGGAAGGGGAGTATTGTAGTGGACTCCATCCCCTACAAGGGACGACTGAGCTCCCGCACTCCTACCAGCCAATCAGCATACAGCCAGCGGTACTGGTAGACCTACTCTCCAGTGCGGACGTACACGTAGCAACGCTAGGACCAGAGTGCCTGGTGTGCCTGGCCTCCTCCTCTGTGATTGGCCCTCTCGCTACGCTCACCCCAAATCTTGATCCTCGTAAATTGTATAAATACGGCCATGGCTGGCCTGGGAGACCATTCTACTCTGACCTACAGGACCAGCAAGATCTCTCTCCAGCACCTCACCACCCAGCTTCCTTAGAGAGCTCCTCGTCCTACAGGAACTCTGAGCAAGTTACTACTCACCTAGTAACTCCTTAGCACTGCTCTGTACAACAATATATATACAGAAAACGTATCGTGAGTTTCTATTCTACCTCATTCCTGAGTGTGAGATATCTACATGTACGTACGTTTGTGTGGCCATACAAAGAGAAAATAGACATCTAAAGAGAATTGACTACTGGCCACATTATAGTACGCTACACCTCCTCCTTTATTTTCTACACCCACCTTCACCCCCACCACCTCCCCCTTCTCTTGTTGGGTTACGTTATATTATGTTGTCTAGCACTCAGGATGGATGGATGGAAACTCTAGGTGGTGGTTTTCTTATATAAAATATATTGTATACAAGACAGTCTGGTGCTGGAGATGCCGTGTGGTGAGAAGCTTGCTCAAAAGACGTGTTCAGTGAGTAGCGTGCTTGAGGAGGTAGATGTGCAGGAGCTTCATTAGAGGAGATGTTGCATGTTGCTGGCCTCCAGGTTGAATGAGAGCTGGACAGCGAGGAGCTTGCTGGGAGGAGGTGTTGCGTGTTCAGGAACGTAGGGTAGAATGAATCTCAATGGAGAGAATGCGAGCTTATATACACAGCAGCCGGAAGTAAACCCGTGGGAACTCGCCGGTTTCTTGACTCCGTTGCTAGGAAAGACATAGCAGGTGGCGACCCCCCTCGTGCTGCTAGGATACTGTCGCATTGGAATGCGGATGTAGTTGTAGGGGAGAGATCCACTACAATGTTGTGTGTTGCTGGCCTCCAGGTTGAATGAGAGCTGGACAGCGAGGAGCTTGCTCGAAGAAGTGTTGCATGTTCAGGAACGTAGGGTAGAATGAGAGCT